GTCTGCTGCTTTTTCTAGATCTCTTATGCGGGTAAATGGACTCAGACGTTTGGACCGTCATCTGCAGCTCTTTCAGGCATATTAGCAGGAAACTACATTGGAAATAGAGCAGCTGGATCTTAAACAGGTGCCCATATAGGATGCCAGCGTTGCAGGTAATGATTTAACCCACTACATCACAGTGCTGGCCCCCTGCAATCAAATTTTACCAGTTTGATAAGAGATTTAAAGTGCAATATTCTTACCCATGCCCATTTCTGCCTTGTATTATCTGCCAAGTGTGCAGCTGGGGTGCTGCAGGTATTCAGGGTAGATTACTGCCACCACTCCTGCTGTTTCCAACGCGATCCTGTTGTGGTCCTGGCTCTGTAGCCAACCATAAGCCCGTCTGAATGGTACATATCCTTTTAGCAGGTACATTTAAACAAGCCTCCTTTATAAAGCCAGTAAATATACCTCTCCATGTGGCTGATTAGGATAGGATAGCATTTACGTTTAGAGTGTTAAATGAGCAAATATTATGTTAACCAACTTTCCCAGCTCTTAAAGAGCATTTGTCCTAGTGGCAAGGGCTGAAAGATGATTGGATACAGTCACCTGGTAAAGTCAAGACAGGTAGCCCTTGTTGCTCCTAGAGATCCAGACGGTCATGTTCTGGGAGTGTGTTTATTTAACCAGTGTTGACTTAGTCAGCTGTGTGCCCAAAGTCCATGGTCCTAGACCACAGGAGAGGCCAGGTGGCCTCGATGAACACGGCTCCCCTGCGTCCTTCCCCAGTGCACACGCGAGGGGAGCCCAGGACATAGTGGTTGCATATGTCAATTTTGTTGAGTTTTTCGAAGTCTTGTTAAAATTACATAGAAAAGCATTTAAATTTCATAATGAATAGAGACATGCACATTTTAGATTTACTACAAATGTTTTATTGTTCTCGCCTTACGGATTTATGCGTCTTTGCCATTTGTCAGTGTCTTGAGTCTTCCAACTTTTTACAGTAAGCTGATACAACTTCCTTAACTTAAATAAGATTTATTTTAGGGATGTGGTAGTATCCCCTGCCATTATGACCACATCAGCTTAATTTCCTAGAAAAGATCCCAGGTCATTAAGTTTCAGGAAAAATGTGATTTGTTCTTTTGTACAAGGATAACATTATGAAGGTGAAATGTCTGTCAGAGTAATACATATTTTGTACAAATTATCAAGGAAATCACATTGGAAACTATTGAGTCCTTCCCGCTTTATGCAAGCCATTTTGCAGATCTTTTGGAAAAGATTTTTAACATAAAACACAGCTGCTTGGAGCCAGTGTGATGAGGTAACAGGTAAAGCCTCCTCCGGCAATGCTCGCAGCCCCTGTGGACACTGGGTCGTGTCCCAGCAGCTCTGCTTCTGCTCCAGCTCCCTGCTGATGCATGGGAGAACACACTGGAAAATGGCCCAAATGCACAAGCTCCTGCCACCCGTGTGGGAAACCTGAAAGAAGCTCCTGACTTTGCCTGGCTCAGCCCTGGCCATGTGACCAGTTGGATAGTGAAAAGGCAGATGAAAAATCTCTGCCTCTCCCCACCCCCTCTCCATAGCTCTGGCTTTCAAACAAACAGATTAGCAAATAAAATTTAAAACTCTGAAAGAACACCCGGCCTCCTGCCCCTGCCTTACTAGTGGGTGGGACCGAATGATGTGCACATGAGCTGTGACAGCAGACTGACACTGGGGGGCTGTGGCTGAGGGCTCTGGGGAGGCCAGGCCCTTTGGCAGTGGTGGATTGTGCTCGTTGAGCAGCACGTATCCTGAAAAAGAGAAGTGATGGGACTTTTACAGGATTGGTGAAGATGAAGGCCCAGGCTATACATTTGGATACAGCACAACATTAGAAAAGGCAGGGTGCGGAAAAGTTGGGGGATGTGTGGGAGTGACTGAAAGAGACACGGTAGCCGCTAGGGTTTTGTAACGCAGTTAGCTAGGATACATACATAACTAAGTAACAGTTATAGCAAGCCTATAAAGTAAAAATAAAGTCATTGTCAAAAACAATCATGTTATTTGAGCCTTAGTTTAGGGTGGGGGACCAGCGTTTGGTGCGACAGTTAAGCCACCATTTGGGACACCTGTGTCTCCTGACTGGGTGGTCCTACTCCTCCCAGCTGTAGCTCTGCTGCTGCCTCCCGCAGAGGCACTGATGTGAGGGCCCCTGCATCTGGGGAGACCCTGGTGGGGCTTGGGCTCCTGGTTTTGACTGGCCTGGCCTTGAGTGTTGCTGCCATTGGGGATTTGAACCAGTGGGTAGGGAGAGCACTCTTTTTTGCCTTTCAGATAAAATGAAAAATAAACAAATGAATATTAACAAGGAAGATCTGTATGGATTTTAATTCTTTGAGGACACTTGCTACAAATTCTTGACCTCTGATGTCTTCCTCCATGTTCAACCCTTCCTGGCCAGTGTGCTCACATTTCCCGGCCTCTTGCTACATGAACGGTCACTCCTGCTGTCGGTGTGCAGCCCTGCTCCTTGGCGGCGAGCTACACTGTTCCCCGCAGTCTTTGTGAACTCTGGCTGCATGCATACCTCGCATTTTAACCCCAAATCACATGGCAGTTCAGCCCAGACCGTGGTGGAGCCTGTGTCACCCCACCAGCACCCACAGGTGACGGGAATTGTGCTGGATCAAGCAGACACAGGAGTCCCTGTTCTTACCTTTTTCTTAGTGTCCCATGTATTGACACTTTTCAGAGATTCATTCTAAAACCGAAACCTGGAGGACTCGAAGTATTCTGTCCCTGAAAGCCAGCAGTAGGAGGAGGGTTTCCTCCGACAGCACCTTTGTGGCCAGTGTCCCCTAGGGTCACTTTAGAGTCCATCCCCAGAGGCCAGCCACTCTAGAAGCTGTTTTGCAGGGGTTCATGATCTTGTGGATCAATGGTTTTGCTATCAATCCTGGACTTTGAGTGAAATCACAGGTAATTGCATTAAGGAATCCTCCCACCTGTGAAACCCTGACTGGTGGCTGGAGGCAGCCAGTGCCCACCCACGTCCGTGAGGGGGAGCATCAGAGCAGCCCTAACCGGGTGCTGAAAACTGGAGAGAGGGGAGAGATGACTGGAGCAGTTTTTGTGAAAATTTTTGTGGGTTTTTTTTTTTTTTTAGCCAAAACTGGTTTTATTAATATGAAAAAAAGACTCAGGAAGAAAACCTGCTATTCCATGTTCTTGGTTAATGCTAACACTGAAGGGAGAAGGCCATGATTAATTTTCTTTGGATTTGCATAAATGTAAGGTGACTTGAATGAAAATCAAACGTTTACATTTGACATTCTAATGCAAAATTTGGATGGTTTTAGTTAAGAAATGTTATGCTTGTCTCTAGCAGATCCCTAAGCAGCCTACTTCTAGTTCAGATAGGCCAGAAATCAGCCCCAGGCTGGCAGGTGACAGAGGTGACATTGTGATTCAGCAGGGGACAGATTGATCAGTACTGCAGTGTCAGAAAGTACTGGAAAATCTGAGCTGGATCTGTTCTCACATCAGTAAGTTCCATGTAGACTGGGGTTTGGTATGTCAAGCAAACAGCAAGAAACACAAGAGACTGCCTCACAGGCGGAAGTGTGTGGGCAGGACTGAGACATGCGGCCTGGAGTTCTGTTGTAAGATCCTGGAAAGCTGGGCACCAGATATTGGCTGTTCTAGAATTTTATTTACAGCATTAATGTATTAAACCATTCACTGGAGAGAAAATATAAAAGTGAATTTGGAATATATACAAGACAAAACCCCTCAGAATGTCAAGATTGCAAACATATATAACTGATCTTTTAGAAAGTGATTGTCTGAATTCATCAATTCTGAATGCAAATTTCTTAGCCCAGCAATTTTTTTCTGAGACTTTCACATGGATTTGGTGGATACATGGGAAAAGATGCATGGGCTGGATTTGGCAGTGCTGTTTGTGGTACCTGGGTACAGTACACTGAGTCATGGCAAGTAAGCACTGCAGCATCCATGCAGACAGGTGGAAGAACAGTGTCGCCAGGCTGAGGCACCTGAGGCTGTTTGCTGTTGGTAACTGAGAGAAGGTGCAGAGCCAGAGTGGGATGTGAGCTTGCTTGTGTGCTCGAAACAAAAAAGGGCCCCACAGGCCGGAAGGGAACTGCAGTGCGCCAAGTGTTCCCTCGTCAGCTGAAACTTGGGAAGCAGAGGGATCCCCATAAACTGACTTCTGAAAACAGGAGATTCCAGTGTATCCCAGATAGTAGGAAAAAGAGATCTCTTCTGTTTTAACCCTTAGCAAGTAAAGCAACGTGATGTAAACCAACCAGCTTTTCTTGTATTATTTCCTTGTTCCCAACAAAACTCACTGTTCCGCCCGTGTGCAGTGAGAGCTCTCATTCAGTTTTGTAGGATGAAAGCTGTCTGCTTCATGAATTAAGAATAAAAGTCAATTAGATCATACTTTAATTTGTTGTGATTTTATCTTGTGACAGTAATAATGTTTTTGAAAGAATACTGGCATCCTACGGTGGTAGGCATATTGTTTAAATTGGATACCTTCTTATCCTGTGTCTCTTTTTTCTATTTGTTTTATTTTGCATCTGTTTTCCCAGTAAAAGTAAAAACTTATGTGATAACACAGTGGCTTGTACTAAAGCAGCAAAGGTGAATGAAAGAGTGCTGTCAGCATTGACAGTCTCGAAAACAGAATGTTGGCGGAAAAAAACAAAATAATAAAACCCAACTTGCCTAGAGGTACATGCAACTTGCGTTGTGAGGTGAAGTCAGCCTTAAGCACATGGGCAGCTCTGACATGAAGGCCTTGGAAATGGGAAGGAAGGAGCGGGGCTGGAGTTGGGTCTGATATTTTCTTTGCAGCCCTTTGAGACGTTTCTAAGCGGATGGGGCAGTTGGTAACATTGGTAAGGTCAGGATGATGCCACATCTATAGCTAATGGGGAAAATGATTAAGATTGACAAATATTCTTTCTTCTTTTTCACTCCCACCATAGGTCAGCAGTGGCAATGACCCCTGGTCATCCTGGAATGCCTCCAAATCTGGGAATTGGGAGAGCTCAGATGGCTGGGGAGCCAAGCCAGAGGGGGCTGGAGCCCAGAGAAACTCTGCCAACAATTGGGACGCTGCCTTCGGCCACCCCCAGGCCTACCAAGGACCAGGTGAGGAAGGGGCTGCTGCGCACTGGCACATAGGAAACAGCTTTGACAGCCCAAGGCCTTTGCTGCTTGCACTCCCAGTGCAACCCAGAAGACCCCACCCAGGTCACCCACAGCAAAATTACTTTGCCCCGATACTGTCACCTGCAGTTATCCCAGAATCCCACCATGACACCAGGTAGTGGAAATGCAGAGCAGAATGTACGGGCCTCCACGGCATGGTGCACATCAGGTGCGGCTGTATAAGGGGAGCTACGCAGCTCTGAATCCCTCAGTTCTGGAACCATCAGTTCCAGAGTCTCCAGCTCCCCTCCTCGTTCTGGAGGATGTGGCTGGATGAACATTCCCAGCTTCTAATCATGACACGGGCTTTCTGGTGGACAGCCCTGATGCTGGAACAGCCCGCGGCCCCTCCCTGAGAACTAAAGATGCTCCATCCCCCCGAAGCCTCAGGACTCAGGCCTGTGTCAAAGCTGAAGGTCAGAACGGAGGTAAGCCCACCACATGCTGGCTCAGGCTGGTACAGGGATTCAGGAGCTCCGTGAGTTCTGTTGGATCACGGTGTCATCCAGGTCTCATTTGAAAGCGCAACTCAGAGGTGCTTTTTCTCTAGATGTCATTTTCTAGATCCAGACAGAACTGGTTACTAATGATGACCTAGTTCGGCCTCAAGCATATCTCAAGGAGTCACAAATTTGATCGTGAAATCAAAGACCACAATAGCCTGGGAGGACTGCAGACTGGAAAGCGCACTGTGTCAGTGGGGCGGCCCCCACCTGCCCACAGAGGGCTGCATTCCTGAGAAAACTGTCCATATTATGATCAGTATGTTTTGGAGAGATTGGAAATCTTGTCTTTTAAGACAGATGAGCATCTAACAGATTTGGTGTGAACATTTAGCCTGGCAGCTAACATGCAGGTGGAGTGCCTGGACTCGGGTTTCAGCCCCACTTCCTGATGCACACCTGGGACCTGTGCTCTCTGACCCCTGTCACCCTGGTGGGAACCAGGACGGAGTTGGCTCCTCCCTGTCAAAACTAAGAAGAAACTCTGCTTTTTAAAAACCTCGAGCTTTAAAAAAAAAAAAAAAGGATGCTTATGGAATGTGGCTCATCGCCTGCTGGTTTGTGGCCTCTCTGTTAGCTGTTGTATCTTTCCTAAACCACCTGCTTGACTCCTGGGTTATTAAGAGGAAGCCCAAGACAGAAGAGAAATTTCCAGAAAGTGAAACAGTTCTTAAATTGAAAGAGGAATGACGGGATGCCTTTTACACAGGGTTACGTCTGTGTCCTGCCTGTGCTTGCAGTTGCAGCTTCCTGCAGATACACACCCTGGCGAGCAGCAGACCTCAATGCTTGGGTCCTCACTGCTCCTCTGGGAGACCCAGCCTGAGTTCCTGACTCCTGGCTGCAGCTTGTAGGGAGTGAGCTTGTGGAGGGAAGAGCCCTGTCTCTCTCTGCTCTTCAGATAAAAATAAGATAAATACATATGTTTTTTTTTTAAAGATTTATTTTTATTATTTTTTCATTGGAAAGGCGGATATACAGAGAGGAGAGACAGAGAGGAAGATCTTCCGTCCGATGATTCACTCCCCAAGTGAGCGCAACGGGCCGATACTATGCCGATCCAAAGCCAGGAGCCTCTTCCGGGTCTCCCACGTGGGTGCAGGTTCCCAAAGCTTTGGGCCGTCCTCGACTGCTTTCCCAGGCCACAGGCAGGGAGCTGGAAGGGAAGCGGGGCTGCCGGGATTAGAACCGGCGCCCATATGGGATTCCGGGCGTGCAAGGCGAGGACCTTTAACCACTTGCGCCACCGCGCCGGGCCCAATACATATGTTTTTAAAGCAGAATTTCAAAAAGTTTATACATCAAAATAATCATGAACTTTTTGAATTAACTATACTCTTGCACTGTAACTTCTCCAGCTTTTTAAAGATTTATTTATTTATTTATTTATTTATTTATTTGGAAGGCAAAGCAACAGATTGAGATCATCCACTGGTTCACCCCAAAGGGGCTGCGATAGCCAGGTCCAGGCCAGGCCCAAAACAGCAGCCAACAACTCTGTTCGGGCTTCGCACATGGGTGACAGGGACCCAAGTACAGCGCCATCTATCTGCAGCCTGCCTGGGCGCAGGAGCAGGAAGCTGGATGGATTCAGATCTGATAAGGGTGCAAGCCTCACTGCAAGTGGCAGCTTAGCCACTGCACCACAGGCAGGCCCCTCCAGATGTTTTTCAGTGGGCTAGCTCAGATGGTAGTTAGTCTCAGAAAATGTGGTCATCTTATTTTTATTTTCTTTTCTGACAATCTCTTCTGTCCCCGCTTCTAGCTACTGCTGACGATGATGACTGGGACGAAGACTGGGATGACCCCAAGTCCTCTTCGCCTTACTTCAAGGATGCAGAATCCTCTGACGCAGGTGGCGTCCCCCGAGGCAACAATCGCAGCAGTGCCTCCATGAAGCTGCCCCTCAACAAGTACGCACGTGGGTGGGGACGCGCGCTTGTGAGGGTCAGGAGCAGGAGTCACGGTGCTGGCTCTGCACTGGGGTCTCGGGTTTGGGGCATGATCTGATTGTTTCTGTCTGGATCTGGATTTGGAAGCTTATGGCTGGAGGCCATTTTACAAGATTAAGCAAGGAAATAATTATTATAATAGTCTTCCATTTTTACTTCTAACTTGATCAATTCAGTATCAATATGAAGTTTCGTTTCTGCTACTAGAGGAAAGACAAGCATATATATGATGCTAAGGAGAGGTAGAGATACTAATTACTCTTTAAAAATGTGCTGTTGCATCTGTCCCTCCTCAGGGCCAGGCATTATACAGAACAGTGGTGTATGTCTGGTATCAGCCATGTGCACTTTGTTGACACTCCCTGTTTTGCTGTGGGACACACCAAAGGCCAGCGAAGCTGGAGAACTCCGACCTCACGCAGGCGGGCAGTGCCCTAAGCTCAGCTGTCTGTCCCCACGTAGACTTTTCCTAAATGGAAACATTTAAGTGGTAGTAACTTGTAGGTCCCTGCTTGACAAGAAAGCACAGGGAAGGGATAATCTCTGCACTGATTCTATGTGTGGGGTCTTATCAAACGACATCACAGGGTAGTCAAAGGCGGGTGTTGGACTCTGGGTCTAACCAAGGAGAGCTTTCTGAAGGTGGAAGTGTTTGAAACCAGTGGCAGCTTCCATGTGCTTCCCGCGGTGTGCTGAAAGGCAGCTAGCATTGCACAAGTGCTGACAGGCGGCCACTCAGTTTGCTAAGTGCTTCCTGCCCCTGTGAATCTAAAGCCCTCCAGAAAAGGGCACCCATCTCTGCACTGAGTGATAAGGCTGTCTCAGGCCTGGCTGTGCCACAGCAACCCTTTAACACTGAACCTTCTAGGGTCAACCTGCCCTCCTCAACTCACCGGGCCTAATTAAGTCACTAATTGGCTGTTGAGCAATCTGATTGCGTCGGGTTTTCTTTACTGTGGTTTCCTAGTTCTGGTTCACCTGAAAGAAAAACAAGGTTAGAACTGGTGTGTTCAGTAAATGTGGGTGAGAGCTGTAGAATTCTTGCAAGGAGTGATTTACAAGCATTCATCTTCATTAGATTTCCTGGATTTGCAAAACCTGGAATGGAACAGTATTTGTTGGCCAAGCAACTAGCAAAACCCAAAGAGAAAATTCCAATCATTGTAAGTTTGTTTACTTTCGTTTGCTTTCTTTGTGATTAAGGTCCTTTTTGGAAAAAAAAAAAAATTTTTTTTTAAACCTTAAAGTTAAGAGGGTTAATATTCTCTTAGAAAGTTTTTTGAAATGTATTAAATGTCCCCATTAGAACTGATTGTATGTTTATATTTTAGGCATATTAAAATTAATTGGCATAAATTAATGCCTGTCATGTTGTTAGGCATTTTTTATTTTCATCTTTTGAATTATTAGTATTGGACCAACAACACTCATTCTATTAAGAATTTTCACTTTTTAAAATATCTTTAAATATATTTTATATGTTGCCTTTCTTTACCAGCCTGTATATTTAATAAATTCAATTCAAATACTTGTGTTTCTGCCGTTGCAAAATGTACGCATATTATTTAAAAAGGGGGCTTAGAAAATACTTAGCATTTCTTCTAGTCAGCGAGCTGTCAGATGAAGATAAAGGGCTAACAAATAGAGTGGCAGCGGTGCCCACCTCGCTAAGTGGGCTTTTGGCCCAAGGGTTCCATCGCCCACAGGCCCCAGTCTTAGTGCCTGCATCTGCTCCTGGGTCTGCCCTGACTTCAGCAGAGACCTGAATTGCTTCCCGGCTCCCAGCCTCAGCCTTGCAAGCCCTCAGCTCTTGCGGGCATTGGGTGGTGAGCTAACAGATGAGCCGTCTCTCTCTTTCTCACTCCCTCTCCCTCTCCCTCTCAAATACATTTTTTAAAAAATATGTCTTAAATAGCTTGTTAGCTTGATAAAGGTTAATATACAATATGAAATAGGTACTTTGATTATCCCGTATTTGATGCTGATACATTTTCTGTCTAGATGATCTCTAATTGTATATTCCAAAACAAAATTCTAGAAAAGAGATCCATAGCTACTTTTTTGGCCCTGTCAGTTGAACCTGTAAGCGCAAGATGGGCCCTGAGTGTAATCACTGTGGTGAAAAACCAGGATAAGAAAGACCTAGTCTTGTTCTAGAATCCTAAGGCCCAGGGAGCTGTGATAGACCTGCTGGGATGACTCCGGGGTCTTGAATGACTTGTTCCACATCTTTGGGAAAGCTTGAGATTCCGGAAACTTCCAAAGGGAATGCACTATCCTTTTCTCCTCAAAATGAATTGGAATAATTCTTCTCAATAGTTGAAGATTATTTTTTCCTGTTTATTGCAGATTTTAAAGAGAATGTATATCATTATTCTTTTAATTAAATTTAAAACTGCACATAACCAAAAGCCCATGGTCCTGACCCTCAGGTAGTGAGAGGGGACTTTGTCACAAGCATGACAGTGGTGAAACAGAGCGAGAGGTGTACCCCTTGCACATCCCATGAGTGTCAGGATGGACCCATTGAAACAGAGCGAGAGGTGTACCCCTTGTACATCCCATGAGTGTCAGGATGGACCCATATCCCCGGGGGCAGCCTGCCTGTCCCGACTTCTGGCTGGAGCAGGAAGCTGAGGAAAGCCATCGACATACAGGAAGTCACGGCATGGCCTACCTCTCTGTTTGGCAGCACAGTAGCCTCACCCTAGTGGGACTGGCCCATGGGCCAGTTGGGCTACTTCTTGGTCCTTGGTCACTGACGGAGGGTCCCCACAGATGGCACAAATTCCCAATCTGGAGCTTAGGAGAACTTTCTGGATGTGGGCTTCTCCGGGGTGTCATCATGCTTTGTTCTCAGTTTTCTCTTTAGCCCCTTAGTCAGCTTCTCTGCTGCCCAGCCATCTTCCTGACCTGATAACCTCTGGGATATAGGTGCAAAGGCTTATCCCCATCTAAGTCAGAAGTGACATCTTCCATCCTTCAGAGCAGATGGCACTTAAGTCTGGAGAATTGTGGCTGTTTAATAAAATAGGCCATCAGAGCTCCTGGACTTTCCTACCCGATCCTGGTGTCCACTCCACCTGCACCAAGAGTAAGGGCTAAAGTGCGTCTGTCCAGCCTTGCCTCTGAGAGCTCGGCCTGTACACATGCTCACTCCTCCTCTAACTCAGTCTGACTGCAGGATTGAAGTCTGCCTCATAAACTATTTCATCCCTCCTTGAATTTCTGCATGGATGACTTTTCTAGAAATAGTGTTCCGTTTGCAGTCCCCATGTTGCTTTTCTCACCTTTTTTGCTGGATTGTAATTTAGTGTTTTTCATTTTCCAATCTATGAAAATACGCACCTTTAACAGCTTGAAACATTTCCATTGCTTTTTCTATCTTCTTTGGTACAAATGATTGTGATATTCTGGGTCTCCGAAATCCGTAACTGTGATGATTATAAAATGAATGAGCCAGAACCAGTCTGGGACTAGTGGTGAAAGAGGCTGCCCTCCAAGAGCCTGTGTGTGAGCCCCGTGATCCAGGTTTCTCGGTAGCTGCCTTTGTGGCCTCAGACACAGCTCTAAATAAGATTTGGAGGGGTTAGTGCTGTCGCACAGTATGTTAAGCTGCTGCTTGCAGCACCAGCATCCCATATCAGGCCAACTTGGGTCTGGCTGTTTTGCTTCCCAACCAGCTCTGCACTTGGGAAAGCAGTAGAAGGTGAGCCAGGTACTTACCAGGTTCCATCTGGCCCAGCCTCGGATGCTGCAATCATTTGGGGAGTGAAACAGCCAATAGATCTCTCTCTCTCCTCCTCTGTGTAACTCTACATTTCTAGTAAGTAAATAAAAATTTTAAAGGATAATATTTAGGAATGAACAGGCTTGCGATAGCCAACTTCTTGTCACTTGCATCTGCCACACAGAAACAATGCATAGGTCCCAAACTTAAATGCTTGTTCTCTGTGCCCTACATAGATTGTGATTGGTTTCCCTGCCAAGCCTCCCCTCCAGATCCCTGCGGAAACCCCGGTAGTCCAGTGTGACCTAATAAACCTCCCTTTAAGCCTTTGCCCCAGTGGCAGGGAGAGAAGGACAGTAGAGGCCCACCAAGCAGTCGTGATACATGGGGCATGGAGAGAGGCACCTGCTGTGCTGTGCAAGGCAGTCCCTGGAGCAAGCCGCTAGCTGGCCCGATTCTTGCTTTGAGGCACCACACAGCTCCATCGCCAGTAGTGACACACAGATACAGGCTCTCACCCATCTGGTGAGCCATTTCAGTACTTAGGACAATGCTATGCACAGTTTACCAACTTGTCATGAGATAAATACAGCAAATGACAGTGTCTGATGACAATTTGAATTTACTGAGAAACCTAAGTGTGTAATTTTATATTTCACAATACCATTCTTCTAAGATAAATTGGACCTTTAAAAAGAAACTAGTCTATTACCGCATACAGTGTGAGATAACTGGGCAGAGGGAGACCATGAAGGTTGGGGGAGCCAGTCTCCAGGGATGGAGTCGCCCATGTCAGGAGCAGAAAGCTCTGTTCTAACACAGGAGCTCTGTAAGCATCGCACCTAACAGGAATCGAGGCCATTCACGGAAGCTGGAGTACCAGGGCTCCGTGGGTCTCAGTAGAAGCTGGAGTACCAGGGCTCCGTGGGTCTCAGAGTAGAAGCTGGAGTACCAGGGCTCCGTGGGTCTCAGTAGAAGCCGGAGTATCAGTTCTGAAAGCGCATTTATTGATCTGATGGACAGCAGTTGTATTTACTGTTTTTCCATGTAGCACAATTAACTTTTGCTGGGATTTTGTGTAGGTTGGAGATTATGGCCCAATGTGGGTTTATCCTTCCTCTACCTTCGACTGTGTGGTAGCAGATCCCAGGAAAGGCTCCAAAATGTACGGTCTGAAGAGCTACATCGAGTACCAGTTAACACCCACGGTAAGGACTGTTCCCGCAGACCATTAGCCTGACAGAATCTTTTCTTCCATTGGCATTGGTAACTCTTTCTTCTCTTTCCCTTGTTTTGTAGAACACTAATCGATCTGTAAACCACAGGTATAAACACTTTGACTGGTTATATGAACGGCTCCTAGTTAAGTTTGGGTCTGCCATTCCAATCCCTTCTCTTCCAGATAAGCAAGTCACAGGTAAGTGTATTTCACACTGAACTCTAGGTGCCAGGTGCAAAGGCAGATGATCCTCTTGTAGGCCAGCAATGGCATTTTCTGCCCTTCAGAGCAGAAGGCAGCCAACTGCGGGATAGTGGTTATTTGTGGTGATGAACAGAGAGCTGGAGCAAATTCCACGTAAGTCTGGAAGTTGGAGAATGTTTAATAAAATTTGCTCTCAGTATGAATTTTAAATCCTGGCAGAATCATTCTCTTATTTTTCCCAAAAGTGAAATAAGTGCATTTTTGAAAAGTGACAACTGAAAACATAGACATGATCTAAGTGGCCTAACAGGGCAGAGTGTGTGACCGAGGGCGCAGCGGGCTGCACACAGACCGGCTCTGTCATGTTCATTGCGAGTGTAATCATTGGACAGAGAAGCTACAGAAATGCCAGGTATTGATGAAGGTGCCAAGTGTTCTGCTAAATTGTTTATCTGCTTTTCCCCTTTTTCTTATTTGAAGTGCCACATTCCACACCCAGCTCCCTTGCCCCAACCCTGGGGTACTGCAAGAGTGCCTTGTAAATGCACAGTTGAAAAGGGTTTGCTGTGGGCCCAGCACAGTAGCTTAGTGGCTAAAGTCTTCACCTTGCACACCTGGGATCCCATATAGGTGCCAGTTTTAATCCTGGCAGTCATATTTCCCATTCAGCCTCCTGTTTGTGGCCTGGGAAAGCAGTCGAGGATGGGCCAAAGCCTTGGGACCCTGCACCCACATGGGAGACCAGGAAGAAGCTCCTGGCTCCTGGCTTCGGATCAGCTCAGCTCTGGCCATTACAGCCACTTAGGCAGTGAATCAGTGACGGAAGATCTTCCTCTCTGTGTATGACTTTCCAATTAAATAAGTAAATAAATATTTTTTGAAAAAATAAAAACAGGCTTTGCTGGCGGCAGCCGGGAGCGGTCGCTGTTTTGCTTTGATCTCTAGTCTGGTGCGGAGCCTGGACGATGAGTACTCTACGTTTTACAGAAGAGCCTGAGTGTCAGTGCTGTGTGCGTCTCAGACTAGAACCTGTGACTCGGAGGAATAGTTGAGAAGAATCAGGAGGAGTTTCAGTCTAAATCTAAGAACTGTTGAGGCAAGTCAAATGCACTGTAGAGGAGAGTGGTCGGGGGTGAGAGGCTTGAGCAGCCAGAGCCGGCTCGGCAGGGCACAGCAGTGACGGAGGCTCAGAGGCTGGCCGGGTCGAGCGGGGAGGGGTGGTCTCCGAGCCCAGAGGTCAGATCCTGTGCCGGCAGTTCTTAGGTTTAGACTGAAACTCCTCCTGATTCTTTGGGGCCTCCCACGCGGATGCAGAGTCCCAAGGCTCTGGGCCGCCCTCCCATGTTTCCCAGGCCACGAGCGGGGAGCTGGGAGGGAAGTGCAGCAGCTGGGCCTCAGACTGGTACTCGGTTACGAGGTATCGGATGTGCTGCGCTGTGGGCATGGCCCTTCACTGTAATTAGTAAATGGCTGCATTTACACTGGCTGTTTCGCTGCTTGTTTCTGTCAGTGATGTTTGTTCCTCTATTTCTCTTTTATTGTGATACTGTTCAGTGCCATTTTTGCTTACTCTTACTTTTGAGAAAAGATTGATTTATTTGTTTAAAAGGCATTGACAGAGAGAGGAAATTTTTTTATCCCTGGTTCCTTAAATGGCTGCATTGGCACTTCCTGGGCCACGCTGAATCCCAGAGCCAGAAACTGTCCAGGTTTCCCACACGAGTGATGCGGCCCCACCTATGGGCCATCGGCCACTGTTCTAAGTGCGTTCGTAGGGAGCTGGACCGATGGTGGAGTAGCCAGGACTCACGCCAGTGTTCTCATATTGTGTGCTGGCATCACAGGTGGCGGCTTAAGTATCTGTGTCACAGTATCAGCCTTTACTCTCATTTTGAAAACTAGAATTGTAATTTTTTTTAGTGGGCAGTCTATGGGACAAAATATGTACCTTCAAAAAAAAATCACAGTGCATTTTTAGATTAATATTAGCTTAATTTTAGTTAAGATGAAAACTTCAGACAACTCCATTCCTTTTCCTGTTTGATGCTGTTAGTCTCATATTTATTTCTTCTGTACATTGTAAATACAACATTGAAGTGGGATAATCATTGCTTTCTACAGTTTTTGTGTTTTAAAGCAGATATGGGAATAAATTAGAAGAAAAAACAGAGTACCCGTGCAGTTTTGCCACCAGCTCACACATTTCTGGAACTGTGTGTCATTTCTGCCCGTGGGTTCAAGGCACCCCTGGTGGTCGATTCCTTTTAGTGGGATGGACTCGCTTTACTAGTTCTTGTCGGTGTGTTATCAGTGGATTAGGTCCTCCTTGATAGCTTTATCTTCTCCTGACTTCTGAAGCACAGACTGCTGGTGACAGCATTCCTGCCTGCTGGCTTTTCTTCCAGTAGGATCAGGACGTATTTCCATGGCCTTGTGACCCCCATTATGTCTGGAGGTTAGTCAGCCGTTAGTTGTATTGCTGGCCCTCTCTCCCTCCCTGGCCCTCACACACAGGTGGCATCACACTCCAAAATTTTTATTTTTCTCCTAGGAGTTTAATTCTGCTGTATCTTGGTATGGATCTCTGTATTTATCCTACAAGTATAAACAGTTCATGGAGGTTCGTTGAGTTTCCTAAGAATCTAAAGTAAAACTAGCAAATTTAAGAAGTTTATCACCTTCTTCAAATGTTTTTCTGCGTTTTCCCTTCCTCTTCTGGGGCTCCCATTATAAATAATTTCGTCTGCTTGATGCCTTTTCAAGCTTGTTCTGCCCCCTGCCCCCTGTAACTTGTTTATTTGAAAGGGAAAACAAAACAGAGAGCTCACCCATCTGCTGGCTCGCTCCCCAGGTGGCCACGGCGGCCAGGCAGGGCCGAGCTGCAGCCAGGAGCCTGAACTCCAGCCTCATCTAACACGGGGCCGTCCAGCCCGGGGCAGGGCCGAGGGCTCTTGGTCTTGTGTTGTTGTTTTGCTTATTTATGCTTCATGTTACTTAACTCTTACTGACCTGCCCTCAAACTGACTGATTTCTGTCTCCTGCCTTCTTAGACGTGATGTCTGTTGTTGACTTGTCAACAGAATTTCCAGTTGTTTCTTCTAAAAAATAAAAATAAAATTAGTCTTCTTAAGCATTTCTGTTAATTCTTTGTATTTTTCTTTAATTTTTAACACAACCTTCTGCACTTGTTAGAACGTACTTTTTAAGATTTATATATTTTTATTTGAAAAGCAGATTTACAGAGAGGAGAGATAGAAAGAGGTCTTGCTTATGCTGTTTCACTCGTCAGTGGCTGCAGTGGCCAGAGCTGGGCCAATCTAAAGCCGGGAATCTGCAGCTTCTTCCAGGTTTTTCTTGTAGGCCGTCATCTGGTGCCCGTATGGGATGCCAGCTCTGCGGGCAGAGGCTAACATGCCATTCCAGGGTACCATGCCCTCTTAAAGGATGTATTTAAGAAACTACTCTGCTGACGTTTTCTGCTAACTTCAACATCTGGGGACAGTTAGAAAACTGATTCTGCTGACTGCTTTTTTCCTCAGTGTGGGTTATGTCTTGTTTCTTGGCAGAGGTCTTAATTTTTAGCTGAAAACATTTCTGAGAATATGTTTTAGCAACTCTGGGCTCTGGTTTTTCCTCCCCAGAGGTGGTTGTTGTTGTTTTCTTCTGCGTTATAATTGTTTGTAAAATGACTTACCAAGGCCAAATCTCTGAAATGCTCCCTCCGCAGCCCTGTTAGTTTTATGCTTACTTTTAAAGTGTTCCTGTCTGGCTTCCCAGGGTGCGGTCCCCTGTCCGTGTGGCGTGCTGTGGGATGTGATTGATGCATAGAGGCTCTGCTGAGCCATCTCAGGCCAGCGAGCTTCTGCCCTCTGTCAGCCAGCAGTAGGTGGGAAGAATGCATTCTGAGCTAGGCAAACGCTTTCAAGTTAACCTTGGTGTTTCACTTTCCGCAGGGGGCTTCTCTACGCATGTGTAGCCTCCAGGCTGGCGGCCAGGGGTGTGTGATCGGCCTGGGCCCTCTGCTGTTTCCCCTCCACCGAGAAATACATGACTCACCGGGGGGGGGGGGGCTTCTGCCCTCCATGTCCCCCACCTCTGGGTCCCTGCCGCCAGCACCACTATGTGCGTGGGCCTCTCCTATTTCTCTGGAAGAAGTGGATCTCCTCCAGACCCCGCAGGGAAGCTGCAGCTGCCAGTCCTCAGGCTGACTGCCCCGGCAGGACCTCTGCTGGCCCCAGGGTAGATGGGAGTGACCGGCACTGCCCACCTCCCCTGCCTAGAGCTCAGTGGCCTTTCAAGCATCTGCCATTCTCTAGTGGCTTTTGTCTGTGCTTGAGCCCTGGTTTGGTTGCTTCAGTCAGTGTTGTGCAGCTCTGCTGGTTGCTTTTTGGAGAGGGGGTTATAGATCCGCGTGCCTGGTCTAACTGGAATTTCTACTGCAGAAACCTTCAGCTGGAAGCAGCTTTTGTCTGTCAGGCTTTATAAACATGAATGTTCATTTGATGTTTAGTGTATAATGGGTGACAAACTGACTTCCTGCTTTGGAAACAAAAATACTCATTAAAGCCACTGTAGGACTGGGAGGAGCTCTAGGGTAGCAGCTTTCACAGTTGTATTCAGGGAAAAATTCTCTGCTATTCTGAATTTCAATATTAAAATTAAAAACAATATGGAGCAGGCCCAGTGCGGTAGCCTAGGGGTTAAATTCCTCACGTTGAATGTGTTGGACCCATTCTAATCCCGGCAGCCCCACTTCCCATCCAGCTCCCTGCTTGTGACCTGGGAAAGCAGTTAAGGACGGCCCAAAGCCTTGGGACTCTGCACCTCTGTGGGAGACCCGGAGGAGACTCCAGGCTCCTGCTTCAGATTGGCTCAGCTCTGATTATTGCGCCCACTTGGGGAGTAATCATTGGACGGAAGGTCTTCCTCTCTGTCTCTCCTCCTCTCTGTATATCTGACTTTAAAATATATATTTGGGGCCCGGCGGCGTGGCCTAGTGGCTAAAGTCCTTGCCTTGAACGCACCAGGATTCCATATGGGCGCCGGTTCTAATCCTGACAGCTCCACTTCCCATCCAGCTCCCTGATTGTGGCCTGGGAAAGCAGTCGAGGACGGCCCAAAGCTTTGGGACCCTGCACCCACATAGGAGATCTGGAAGAAGTTCCTGGCTCCTGGCTTCAGATTGGCATAGCATCAGCCGTTGCACTCACTTGGGGAGGGAATCATTGGACGGAAGGTCTTCCTCTCTGTCTCTCCTCCTCTCTGTATATCTGACTTTCCAATAAAATAAAATAAATCTTTAATATATATTAATATACATATCTTTAATATATATATATGAAGAGAAAAATTTCTATCCTGTGTAGCTTTTCATAGGCAGGAAGCACTTCGGTGTTTGTAAATACCTGTGTTGTTGAATGACTTAGTTCCACAGTCACTCCCTGCTCGGCTCTAGGGCTTCATGTCACCACGTCGGAATTGACCTAAGGCTGGTTTGTAAAAAGTGTAGTTTCTTGTATTGAAATAAGATTTGCTTTTGAATTTTTGTGCTTGTCAAAGATTTGTTAACATGTTAAATTAGAAGCTCATTCTTAACAATTCCAGGCTCTTGCACCTTTTCTGTGGTCTTGGAGCATTTGCTATGTTACTCTGTTTAGGTTAGTGGAAAGTCGTCGTGATTTGCTTGTTTCTAGATAGCTTTTGAGCAAGTAGCCAGTAGCCGTGTGAGTGGATTTCGGTGTAGTCATGACTGGTTGTCTGCAGAGCTGTGAGGCACGCTGCCATCTCTTGCAGGTCGCTTCGAAGAGGAGTTTATCAAAATGCGCATGGAGAGGCTTCAGGCGTGGGTGACCAGAATGTGCCGGCACCCGGTGATCTCAGAAAGCGAGGTTTTCCAGCAGTTCCTTAACTTCCGAGACGAGAAGGTGAGGCGTTCTGTTGCAGTCTGAGCATTGCCAATGGCCATATGCACACCACATCTATGTCTAAAAGACGTTAACATTGTTTGTTACTTTCTCCTAGGATGATAGCAGGACAGGAACCTAAATAGCATGGGGGTACTGCTGGCCACGGGGCTTCCTGTAGGGAGATGTTCGGCGTAGGTTAGGCAGGGTGGAGGATATGATGGGGGAGCAATGTAGAGACCAGAAGGAACTGGTACCCTGTGGAGGGCATTGTTAGCTGGGACCAGGGGTGGAGACCGAGGATCTCTGAGCACCTTGACCTCACCGTGCAGTGAGAAAGAAAAGAAAAAAGCCAGGGCAGCAGAGATGCGTCTCCTGTGGCCAGGTCGGTTTCTCACAACTCGGCGTCCCCTGCTGGCCGCCCCGTGGCAGTCTTCTGCCAGGACTCTGCTCTTTATTAAGATGGGGGGGGAATGGCAGCTGGAAATCTCATTATTTCCTGCTTTGGAAATAGTCTGCTCTCTGGAAAAGCTTTTACTGTATTTATTGTATTATGCTTTTCTCTGAAGATGTTTTTTCTCATTTCTCTCATAGCAAAAATGGCATATTAGAAAACACTTGGCAATAAGAGTATGAGTTAGCTGAGAAGGAACAGCAGATGCTAAAGCTCTCGGGATCTTGGAAACAATGTTTGGAAGCTGTTTGTCTTTAATCAGAGAATGTTGTCTGCTTGGTTGGGCTTTTTCAGGTAGCGGTTTACTTGCTAACCAGCATGGTAGCCAACTTTTCTCTGTTGGAGCCGACACCTTTACATTAAGTCGTAAACACTGGGGCTCCGTCTCTGTGTGTTCCCCAACATGTGCAGGCACTTGTCATAGTCTCGATAGACTTAGTGTCCCTTACGGCCTGTTTCTAGAGTTGACAGGCTCTTTGGATTGTCACCAGAGACCTGGAACACATGGGTCACTTCGGCACTTCGCTGAGTTGGCAGACACCTAGTCTAGCCTTATAGCCTGCTGGCACAAACCCTTGCTTTCCCGATGGAACGTGGTAGTTTGTCCTGTAGTTCCAAAGTTCCAGCGAGACTGGGTTGTTTGATCGAGTTCTGTGAATGTCTCATTACTTGGTGGTTAGAAAAGCTCCAGGTAACCCCATCAAGTTTATTGCCTTCCTGGTTACCCACAGAAGATACAACTGACTTCTCTTGTTGATTTGCCAAGGGTTTTATTTAGAAAGCACTCTAAAGTAATGTTTATGTATAATGAAGTTTAATAATGATTATAAACTAGAAGTAGTTGGCTCTATTTTTGGTAACTGCGATCTTCAAAACTTGACGGGGCTGATGCATTGCCATCTCAGGCTAAGCCTTCACCCATGGCGCTGACATTTCACATGGGCACGGTTCGTGTCCCAGCTGCTCCACTTCCACTCCATCTCTGTGCTAATGGCATGGGAAAGCAGCAGAGGATGGCTTAAGTCGTTTGGCCTCTGTACTTGTGTGAGATATGTGGAAGAAACTCCAGGCTCCTGGCTCTGGAAGGGCCCAACTCTGGCTATTGTGGCCGTTTGGGGAATAAACCAGGAGATGTAAGATCTCTCTCTCTCCTTCTCTGTGTATCACTCTGCCTATCATAAAAATAAATAAGTTTTTGGACCTGAAGCAATGGCTTAGTGGCTAAATCCTCAGCTGGCAATCACCGGCATCCCATATGAACGCTGGTTCATGTTCCATCTGCTCCACTTCCCATCCAGCTGCTGCTTGTGGCCTGGGAAAGCAGTCGAGGACGGTCAAAAGCCTTGGGACCCTGCACCCACATAGGAGACCTGAAAGAAGTTCCTGGCTCCTGGCTTAAGAGCAGCTCATCTCCAGCTATTGCAGCCACCTGGGGAGTGAACCACTGGATGGAAGATCTTTCTTTCTGTATCTCCTTCTCTCTATATATCCAACTTTCCAATAAAAGTAAATAATTTTTTTAAAATAAATTAAATAGGGCCTGGAGCGATAACATAGCGGTTAAAGTCCTTGCCATGAACATGCCAGGATCCTATATGGGCACCAGTTTTAATCCCGGCGGCCCCGCTTCCCATCCAGTTCCCTGCCTGTGGCGTGGGAAGGCAGTCAAGGACAGCCCAAAGCCTTGAGACCCTGCACCTGCATGGGAGACATAGAAGAAGTTCCTGGCTCCTGGCTTCAGATTGGCACAGCTCCAGCTATTGCATCCACTTGGGGAGTGAACCATTGGATGGAAGATCGGCCTCTGTCTTTCCTTCTCTGTATATCTGCCTTTCCAATAAAAATAAATAAATCTTTTAAAAAAAATTAATAAAACAAATCTAAAAAACAATTGAAGAGGGCCCAGCGAGGTGGCCTAGTGGCTAAAATCCTCGCCTTGAATGTGCCAGGATCCCATATGGGCGCCAGTTCTAGTCCTAGCAGCTCCACTTCCCATCCAGCTCCCTGATTGTGGCCTGGGAAAGCAGTTGAGGACGGCCCAAAGCCTTGGGTGCCCTGCACCCATGTGGGAGACCCAGAAGAGGCTGCTGGCTCCTGGCTTCAGATCTAGTCAACTCTGACCACTGTGGCCACTTTGGGGCATGAACCAGCAGATGGAAGATCTTTCTCTGTCTCTACTTCTCTCTATAAATCTGCCTTTCCAATGAGAATAAATAAAAAAATTTTTAAAGATTTATTTTATTTGTACCACAATGTCAGATACACAGTAAGGAGGAGCCAGAGACAGAGGAAGATCTACCATCCAATGATTCACTCCCCAAGTGACCACAATGGTCGGTGCTGCGCTGATCTGAAACCTGGAGCCAGGAACTTGCTCCAGGTCTCCCACATGGGTGCAGGGTCCCAAGGCTTTGGGCCGTCCTCGACTGCTTTCCCAGGCCACAAGCAGGGGGCTGGATGGGAAGTGATGCTGTTGGGACTAGAACGTGCACCCATGTCAGATCCCAGCACATTCAAGGCAAGGACTTCAGCCACTAGACCACCATGCTGAGCCTGAGAATAAATAAATCTTAAAAAAAAATGTCCAACCCTTTATTAATTGTGTATGTTCTAAGTATCTTCTGCTCAGGAGCTTGCCTTTCACTTTTAAGGCCCTTCTAGCCAAAAGAATGCTTTCCTGGAGTCTGCGGGCCTCCCAGCCTTCTGGCCAGTCTTCTCCGTGCACTGAGAACTCCTTCCTGTGCGCTGAAAGAAGATGCTCTCCTTTGTCAGCTGGCGGGAGGCTCACTGGACTGTCTCTCATTTGGATCTATAAGCCATACAGAATGAGTTTTTCAACACTTTATGTAACAGACACCTTCAAAAACACACAGAAATGCTGAAAAAAGTAAGATGGACCCCTAGTAAGACTCAGCTTCAACAATTAATTAGCATTTTATCAATCTTATTAAAAAAATCATTAGTTTGTTGTAAGACAGACATGGATGTTACTACACAGTTTTCAGAACATTCGTGGGATGATGGATTCGGTACACAGATTTCCCAAGAACGTCACCAGCTCTCACTAAGGACGCGCCCGTGCTGATGAGAACTTCCCTGCGACTTTCACACCAAGTGCTTCATGCACATCTGCTGTTTGTGATGCTTCTCCTTGGGATTTTTCTGGACATGTAGCATTTCTTTTCCTTAGAAACGTGAGCTCCACTGCTTTACCTAATACTCAAAGAACGAAAGAAGCTTCCCTGGTGTCTGTCTTGCCATGAGCCTGGACAGCCCAGCTGCAGGCCTCCCTGGGAAGGGCCAAGCTTACCTTATTATTTATTTATTTTGCAAAGGATTTATTTTTATTTGAGAGTAAGCTGGAGAGAGAAAGAGAAAAAGGATTTTCTACTTGTTGCTTCATTACCCAAATGACCTCAACAGCCAGGGCTGGGCTAGGCTGAAGCCAGGAGTTTCAATCGGGACTTCCATGTGGGGTGGGCAGGAGCCCAAGCACCCAGACTGTCAGCAGGAACTGGGCTGGAAGTGGAGCAGCTCGCATATGAATGCCCATGCTGCAGGCAGTGGTTTTCTGCACTCCACCACCTCACTGGCCTGGCCCCTATGCTTGTGTTTTACCTACTCACCTCTGTTCTCTCTTTCCCTTTATTTTCATGAAAAGGTCACATCATACAGTTTCACCTGTACTTTATGATCCTATTACTTATCTTTAACTTTTAGGGCCATGTTGTAAAACAACCAGGGCAGGTGCTATGGCCCGGAGATCACGCTGCTGAATGCCATGCCAGGAGCCCACAGGAGGGTGCTGGTTCGCGTCCCAGATCGTCACTTTTGATCTAGCTTTCTGCTGGTGTAGCTGAGAGCAGAGGATGACTCAGGCACCTGAGCCCCTGCCGCTCACACGGGAGAGCCAGGTGGAGTTCTCGGATCTCAGCTTCCGTCTGGCCACTGCGGACATCTGGTGAATCAACAGATGGAAGATCTCAGTTTCTCTCCTCTTTCTCTACTGTTCTGCCTTTCAAGTAGATGAAAACAAATATACATTAAAAAGCCCCAACCAACAAGAAGCCTGACAAAGCAAGCAGCAGACAGCTGTGAGGCAGTGACCACACACCTCGGAAGGCTGGCCTTCCCTGTCCTGTCCAGCTGCTCTGTCAGCTCCGCACTCAGGAAGTCACTACACTGTGTTATGCAGTAAAGTCCTCCTGACATGTTAGCATTTTCTGAGTCACACTGGCTGTCACCAGGCCTTTTCACGTGACACTTTGTTGAACTTTTCAGTTTTGAGAGACGGCACTGCAACGTTTGCTTAGGTCTTCTTTCATGTCTCTCAAAAGTGCTACAGCCTTCTGTAAAGATTTTGGGCACTGTCTTGCATTCACTCAGACATTTGATGATATTGTAACCGATAGCTTTTTTAGACTTTCAATTTTTGGTTATTACTAAAAAAATCTGCAATGTCTTATATAACCAGTTACTTTACTACTTTTCTCGTAATTTCTCTATAGATTTTCCGTGATTTCCTATGTAATACTTATGTGAGTTGCTACCTGACACACGATCAGCTTTTCTTGACCAAACAGTTTGTCACTGCCATTTAGCAGGTGAGGAAACTGAGTGTCTCGGGGTATCAGTGTGTTGACCAAGAGCGCAGAGGTGGCTGGAGGCACAGTGAGACTGCAAACTCAGCTGCTCCAATTCAAGGTTCTCTTTATCTTCTCTTAGTCCATCAATTATTATTATTTTTTTAAAGTTTTTTTTTTTTATTTTTATCACAGTCAGATATACAGTGAGGAGGAGAGACAGAGAGGAAGATCTTCCATCTAATGATTCCCTCCCCAAGTGACCACAATGGTCGGTGCTGCGCCGATCTGAAGCCAGGAGCCAGGAACTTCTTCCAGGTCTCCCATGCAGGTGCAGGGTCCCAAGGCTTTGGGCCGTCCTCAACTGCTTTCCCAGGCCACAGGCAGGGAGCTGGATGGGAAGTGGAGCTGCCAGGATTAGAACCGGTGCCCATGTCAGATCCCAGCACTGCAAAGTGAAGGTTTAGCCCCTAAGCCATCGTGCCAGTCCTAGGGCTAGATTTCTGAACCTGTATGAAAGCCTGTATAAATCAGACAATCATCCCAATAATAGGAGATTTGCTACTGCTACAAGAGAAGGTATCTAAATCATTGAAAAACATGGAAAAGTACTTTATTTCCTAAACAAATAAGAAATACAGGTTAAACCGCAATAAGATTCCCCACTTATGCACAATGGGAAAGATTGGCCAGCAGGTGTCTTCTTGGTGAGAGGCATGGCTCGGGAGTCCTGGATCTGCCAGGACCTCTTGCTAGACCAGATTGGAGTTGTCTGCTGTAGGTGAACCCTAAGTGGAACCCAGAATCTCTACTCCTGGGCAGCACTGAACCAAAACCACATCTCCTAAATGCCAAGAGGTGTCCTGGCCACAGCTGGGCTCACTACTTGATGTGGGCAGCCCCCCTAGTGGACTGGAGAACTACATCAGGGGATATTCATATCGGGCCACAAGGTGAGTGAGGCCCAGCTACCCACAGTCGTGTGAGAGGTGCCAGCCGCAGGCTGAGCCAGGCTGTGGGGCTCTCCAGGGGCCCACCAGTCAGAAGAGTTGTTCAGGGATACAGAGTCAGGTGGTGACCCCTTAACGAATGCCAAGAGGCAAGCCACCAAAAGAGGAAACGGTACCTTGGTAGGGGAGGCAGGGGGCAGGAGCTGGTTCCTGGGGTGCTGGTTGTGGCTCAGCCAAGGAGGTGGTGTCACAAGTGTGCACTGCACCATGCACAGATGGGTTTTGGGTGTGTGAGAAACCTTCAAATGGTATTTTTTTAAGGAAAAAATAATATTGGTGCCCAACTTATACTTTAGAAATGTGCTAGGTATTCTTATTTGAAAAAAGCCTACCAGCTCTTTACCAGCCTCTATTGTGTCAGTGTTGGCATCCACGGGGACAGGACCGTGGCTCAGCCTGTCACCCTCAGACTTGGTTCTCTGCGGCCTGTTCGGAGCAGTGGCATGACCACACCGTGCTGTTACATTAGGGGCATGGCCACTGGGACCCTGTGCGGCGGGATGGGGGGGGTGCCCCCCGAGGATTATGGCAGACAAGGAAGGAGTTAGAGGACCAGGTTTGACCCTGCCATGACCTCAACACTGATGTTCTCATTGACAGGAGTGGAAAACTGGAAAGAGGAAGGCTGAGAAAGATGAGTTGGTGGGAGTCATGATATTCTCCACCATGGAGCCAGAAGCACCTGACTTGGACTTACTGGAAATGTAAGGGACACCTCTACACGCTTTCCTGTTTATCTATGCCCACCCCTGTGCTGACAGGACAGCCACGCTTGGGACTGTGTGAGAGGCAGCAAGTGGGCTTTGTGGTCAGGTGAGATGGACGTAGAGGTCCCATCCGCTAACGCCAGGCCAAGATCTGCATCCCTTTGCCTTGCAGTCTACAGTTGCCTGGTTGACACCGTGTGTGGTGGCAGTGAAGCCATGAGGCACAGAGCCACCTGCCGCCCACACAGCCTTCGGCAAAGCCGACCTCTGGACAGGGGCTTGAAGGAAGTGGGCTCCGGCCTCCTTCTCTGTGGGTGTGTTTTTAATCTGTTCTGTAGTCATTTGATCTTTTTTTTTTTTTCCAAATACAGGTCCAGTTGAAATTTTGAAACAGTTCCTTTTCTCTATAATGATTAATTAGAACTGTTGTTTGTCATTTAATTTTAGAAATTGTTGTATATTGTCATAAAATTGTTCCTGTATGTTAGCAAAAGTATATACAAGAGAAAGCACTCACACGGTGCTCCCCCTGCCCAGAGCAAAGCTCAGTGTCCGCCAGCGACCACAAGGAAAACGGCCTCACACCCTACATGGTTTTATAGTTTACTTTTCACGTTGTGCAGTGCACACTGACGCCCGTGGCAGGTTGGTCAGCACACTTATTTCTTCCATGGCATTAGGCAGCTGAGCATTCAGGCTGTCCTCTGTGTTTCCAAGTGTCAATCGGATGTGTAGTCCCCCCCCCCCTGGAACCCAGAGGTTTGACGGTGCCTCCAGAGAAGGGAATTTCTCTACATAAGATTACTTACATTCGGGTAACTTTAGTAAACACTCACAAGGAAACAGGAGAGAAAGCCAAGTCGGAGTCAGTCGCAGGTTTTTAGGTGAGTCTTTAAGCCCCTGAACGCAGCTTTCTCACGTCGGGAGGGCAGCCGGCACGGTACACGCCACGCAGGCGTGTGGTGGTGGTTGCTGTGCACTTCCGGCAGCACTGCTTCCCAGCTGTGGAACTGACGGTTGTCCTTGTCACAGAGAGCAGAAGTGCGATGCCGTGGGCAAGTTCACCAAGGCCATGGACGACGGCGTGAAGGAGCTGCTGACCGTGGGACAGGAGCACTGGAAGCGCTGCACAGGGCGTGAGTGTGGGGGCCCGGAGCTGCAGCGGTCAGGCAGTGGGGAGTGGACGCGGACGAAGCCAGCAGGCAGCTCTCCAAGCCTGTCACACATATGGCTGTGGTCATCTGAGGTCCTGTCTCCAGAAGTCTTTTTTTGCATGTTTGGAATGTTTTGTCATGGCCTCTCCTGAGGCGACTGGTACAGGTGAGGGGACATGCACAGATTCAGGGACAACGATCAAGGCTACCCCTGGACAGTTCTGCAGGATGATCCCTTCCCGGCATGTGGGACCCTCCTCAGCACCCGTGGGCCCAGTGAATGGGTCACCCCCATGCACCCATGCGGAAACTCAGAGCCCAGCGTGATGGCTCTTACCACATCTGTTCCCAGCTGTTTTTGTTCGGCTGGTTGGTTATCAGTTTGCAATTGATCATTTATCTAGATTGAGCATTCCTAACCCAAAATCTGAAATGCTCTGAAATGTATCACTTCATCAGCTCCAGTGTCCAGCCAGTAAAGTCTGCATACATATTCCCAAATGAAACCAAAAACCTGTAGAATCTGAAATACTGCTCCCAAGGGCTCTGGGTGAGGGGTGTTCTACCCATGCCTGCGTAACAGCCCGGACAAGCCAGTGGGTTTGGAATCACAGGTGCCAGTGACCTCCTATCCGCTGTGTGACCTGGGACAGTGAGTTCAGCTCCTGGGGCCTCATTTGTCCAGCCCCCACGTGGAGCTGGTGTCTGGGAGAGGGTATTGATCAGTGTGCCACTATCTGAGAAGGCACTTGGGAGCCTGAGGAACCGTCTGGGTGCACTCCGGCTTCATTAGTGTCACCCGTGGGTGAGAATGTAGAGACGGGGACTGCCAGCAGCCCGCTCCCTGGGCGGTCCGAGAGGGATCGCAGTTGCTCAGGATGACTTGCGTCCGTGTGTGTCTTGTGTTGTCATCACTGAGCAGATGCTCCCAGTTGGACCCCAGGTGGATTTGCTCACAAAACAACTAAACAGCATCTTCCTTTTTCCCGCCAGCATTGCCCAAGGAGTACCAGAAGATAGGAAAGGCTTTGCAGAGCCTGGCCACCGTGTTTAGTTCCAGTGGTTATCAAGGTATGTCTCGCTGTGTGTGGACGGTGGCTGGCATCCTGTCCAGGCCCTGGGCACCCTGGCTCGCTGCCCTCTGGTGGCTCCTGAGGATGGAGTGCTGGAGGAGGTCACTGAAATGCGCATTTGCTCGCTCGCATGTTTGTCCTTCTTGTCTCAGATACAGCTGTCTTGTTACAATGGACCAGTAGCTGTAGTGTACAATGTTCTCTTTTTCATTTCTTAGCCAAATCTGTACAGTCATCTTGATAAAAAAAAAAAAATTAAAAGATTTTAGGGCCTGGCATGGTAGCCTAGTGGCTGAAGTCCTCGCCTTGCCAGGATCCCATATGAGCACTGGTTCTAATCCCGGCAGCTCCACTTCCCATCCAGCTCCCTACTTGTGTCCTGGGAAAGCAGTCAAGGACGGCCCAAGGCTTTGGGACCCTGCACCTGCGTGGAAGACCCGGAAGAAGCTCGGGACTCCTAGCTTTGGCTCAGCTCCGGCCATTGCAGCCCCTTAGGGAGTGAATCAATGGATGGAAGATCTTCCTCTCTGTCTCCTTCTCTCTATATATCTGACTTTCCAGTAAAAATAAATCTTTCTTTTAAAAAGGATGAAGTTACAACCACATACAAAGGAATGATTTCAAATTTCCATAAAACTCTTTGGTTTCTTCTCTTAGTTTTTTGTTAGTTTGTGGTGTTTTTGTTTGTTTGATTTATTTGTTTGAAAGGGTTACAGAGAGGGAGAGACAGAAAGGTTTTTCATCTACTGGCTCATTGTCCAAGTGGCCACAGTAGCCAGGCTTGAGCCAGGCCAAAGCCTGGTTCACGTCCTGACTCTGGCAGCCCACCTGAGCTGCGGCAGGTCTGCACACCAAACACAGGGTCTCTTCTGAGGATGGTGACCGTCCGTGAAAGGGGGCGGGAGCGCTCGGCTGGGACTGGGTGCTGTGAGCTGTGGGCGGGAAGCTCGGCAGAAGGATGCGAGTCACTTACCTGCCTTCTCCCTCGCCCGGAAAACGGCCCAGGATTCCTGTGCAGAACTCATTAGCTAACTGAGGTAACAGTTCAATAGAAGGAAACCTTTATGACTTACAAGCACTGTGAAACTGCTTGCTTTCAGGTGAAACAGACCTCAATGATGCGATAACAGAAGCTGGGAAGACGTACGAGGAAATCGCCAATCTGGTGGCAGAACAGGTACTCACGTCCCCCAAGCTCGGGGACGATCACTTGCTGTCCAGTGTGCTTGTTTAACGTGAAGCCTCGTCTGAGGCAGACTTCTCACCTAGATCTCTCTGTTCCTGCTCTGGTGTTAATGGTGTCTGATAACGGTGCCTCTCAGGGTAAGCTCAAGTGGGTAAGTCTACATGTCCTCAAAGAATCTCAACAGAGGCCTTCCAGTGTTGGCAGCACTTGTCCAGCCTGACCCCTCGGGATTGAAGTGTGCTGGGGCTAGGCCTTCTGGACCTTCTCGGTCCTTCTGAGGCTCAGCTTTCCAGTCTGTATGTGGCCATGGCAATGCCTGCCTCAGGATTTCATAGCTGATGAATGTAAGGCACCTGGCACAGTGCCCAGCACAGGGTAAATCTTTGTCATAACTGTTTATCACTTTTTTTAACATTTATTTGTTTCACTTGAAAGACTTACAGAAGGGACAGAAGATCTTCCCTCAGCTGATTTACCCCCCAAATGTCCACAATAGCCAACGCTGAGCTGGCCCAAAGCCAGGAGCCTGGATCATGTTGTGGGTTTCCCATGTGGGCGTCGTCCTCCACTGCCATCCCAGGCCATCAACAGGAAATTGAATCACAAGTGGAGCCACCAGGACTTAAACTGACTCCCATGGGGATGTCAGCACTGTAGATGGAGCACTCACCGTCTGTGCCACTGCCGCAGCCCCTTAGCTCTTCCTAAGATAAGTTTTATTTATTTAAAAGATAGAGTGGCACAAAGAGAGACACGGCAAGAGAGAGATTCATTGTGTGCCTGTTAATTGACTTCCCAGGTGGCCACAACTGCTGGGACTGGGCCAGGCCAAAGCCAGGAGCCTGGAACTGCTTTCAGCCCTCCGCAGGCACTGGGGCCATCATCTGCTGCTTTCCTAAGACAGGAGGTGGAACTGGATCATGTGGCCCCGTTCCTTAGCTATTATTAGAGTCATTACTAACCCATTCCAATTCTTTTTACAGATAACATAGTAAGTTCCCTTGTGGGGAATAAACATTTAAATTGTTTCAAATCAATTAAAAAAAATAGGGCCCAGCACAATAGCGTAGTGGTTAAGGTGCTCGCCTTGAACGCTGCAGGATCCCATATAGGCGCTGATTTTAATCCCAACAGCCCCACTTCCCATCCAGCTCCCTAGGCCTAGGAAAGCAGTCGAGGACGGCCCAAGGCCTTGGGACCCTGCACCCACATGGGAAACCCAGAAGAGCTCCTAGCTTCGGATTGGCTCAACTCCAGCCTTTGCTTTCACTTGGGGAGTGAACCATCGGACGAAAAATCTTCCTCTCTATCTCTCCTCTCTGTATATCCGCCTTTCCAATTAAAAATAAATAAATAAATCTTTAAAAAAATTAACTAGACTAAAATAAGAATGGCTCTTGGAGCCATGGTATTGTGGGCTAAGCCTCTGCCTGCCACACCAGCATCCCATATGGGCGTAGGTTTGAGTCCCAGCTGCTCCACTTCTGATCCAGTTCCCTGCTGCCGGCCTGGGAGGGCAGCAGAGAGCGGTCCAGGTCCTTGGGCCCCTGCAGTCAATGTGGGAGACTTGGAGGAACCAGCCCAGCTCTGGCCTTTCGGGCATTGGGGAGTGAACCAACAGATGGAGGGTCTGTGTTTCTCCTTGCTCTGTAACTGCCTTTCAAACAAAAAATAAATAAATCTTCAAGAAAAGATTTTCTTGTAGAAATGTTTCCACAAATATGCACATAATGATGAGGTCATTACTAAGATTTGCAAAAATGTTAATTTTTTATTGTGTTATTAAAATTATAGTTTAGAAAAATGGGAAAAATTGTTACTCTTTAAAAGAATTGCAAGGTTTTTAAAGTTTTCTGTGTGGTTGTTTTTTCTGTGAATATTGATTGCCTGAAGGCAGCGAGTAGAAGCAGGAAGGGTGGGAGGAGAGGTCTTCATGGTTGGTCCATTCCCCCTGAGACGTGTGCCGCATCCAGAGCAAGGCCAGACAGAAGCCAGAGACCAGGAATTCCATCTGGCTCTCGGGGGCTGAAGTGCTTGGGCCGCGGCCTGGGACCTCCTGGGTGAATGGGAGCAGAAGCAGAGTAGCTGTGACTCAACCCAGACACCCCAGAATGGGGTGTGGGTGTCCCCAGCCGCGGGTTAACCCACTGCACCCCAGCCTCATAGAATATCATTAGACATCATGATGGCTTACTTGCATTCCATATTCCTCTGTGTATATGTCAATATATGGTATTGCCTCTGCTTGTGGTCTTCTCCAGCATGGACCCAGGGGGCAGTACCTTACCCTGGTAGTTCTTGAGGAAGACTGATCTGAACGTGGAACTTTTGGGGTGTGTTCCTCAGATACATTTTCTTTTGCTTGATTTTCTGAATTCTGGCAATAACCCCAGCCTGTGTCCTTTGTAGCCGAAGAAGGACCTGCATTTCCTGATGGAATGCAATCACGAGTACAAAGGCTTCCTGGGCTGCTTCCCTGACATCATTGGCGCGCACAAGGTAAACAGGTGCTTAGCGCTTCCTGGTAGAAAAGAAACTCATTCTTATCATAAAGGTTTTTGTAAACCGCACATGGGCTAAGGTATTCTCACGTTTTACATCTGGGTAAGTTTCCCCTCCCTCTTTCCAGCTGTGCGCCAGGAATGGGTGTCACTGTAGGACCCTGGGGTCCTGGGGTAGGGCAGGCTTTGCTCTGGGTCTCCATGCCTGAAGGAGTGGCACAAGGTGAGAGGCTTTGCACACTTCCAAGGGTAGACCTGCTCAGCTTGTTGGAGGGTTCGTGTCGTCAGGGTTAGCGTTCCAGGCGTGGAGCCTGATTTGCACAGGAACACAGTTTTATTTCCAGACAGCAGCACGTAACATGATGACTGGAGAGGGAGGTGCTTGGCAGCTTCTCTGGCTCCTTCCATTTAAGAATTCATCAAAGTTAATTTAATGTCGCCCTTCCACAGCGGCTCCTAAATGCCTGTGGGAAGGGCGCTCTGCAGCCTGTGCTGATGCTCTCCACGGGATCCAGGGCTCCTGCGCCTGTTGACGCCTCTCACCCTGCTCTGGGCCACTCTGGTTTCTGTGTGTGTTCATATATTTGAAAGAACAGACAGCGGGGAGAAAGAGAGAGGAAGATTTTCCATCCACTGGTCGCTCCCTAAGTGCGCACAATCCCCAGGGCTGGGCCAGGCCAAGCCAGTAGTCCGGAGCCGTGTCTGGATCCATGTTCGCCGGCCAGCCAGCAATCATACACACGGACCACTGACTGACATCAGTACCAAAGCTTATTAACAGCATCAGCCTTTTATTGTATTTATTTTTTTCCATTTTTTTCCTGTATTTTTGACAATCTTTACATAGTTAATTAGGGCACAGAGGATCAAGGGCTACAGGAAAGTGTAAGACTATTATTTTCACATTTTTTTTCTGTATCTGGGGTAAAGGGGGAGATAAAGGGAGAAGCCCCACTCAGCCTCCCACCCATCCCAGGTCCCCGATGTGGGGCATGCTCTGAGGGTCTTGCTTAAGTGGTTTTGATAGTTGGACAGTTATGAATTGCTGCCAGTCTCGCATTCCAAGCATGTTGAAGTTGCTGAAGAATCCACTGATTGACATAGTCCACCTTAGAGTCTCCGTTTGCCCAGTTTTTCACTGACAACATATGGCTGGGATAGTTGATTGATTTATCCTGTCCTTGTTAGCATCAGCCTTTTAAAGACTGTGGGTCACTTAGGCGGAAGGGAGGGAAGCGTTTGAGGAATTTACATATCAACAGCAAGACGGAGTTTACTAGTAAACAGTTTGTTGGTCTAGTAGGTCCTTTCCCTGCCTGGGAGAGGAAGCACCTCTCTTTGATCTGTTAGCTAAGCCTGAGGATTAGGGCCTTTCTGGCCCGTTCATCTCCATATCAACTGCTCCTGGAGCCTTCCTGATGGGACTGAGACTAGCCCTGGTTCCATACTGGCAAGGCCTCGCAGTGTCCTCTAGTCAATTGTTTTCCTGCAGATCGGCAGGATCACTGCCTAGACAGGATGTGGGCATCCCAGGCAGCTGCTGCCTAAACCCCACTTTCCCGTCTGCGAAGCTCCCCTGCTGAGTGGCAGGCCGTGCTGTTTCTCTTCTGGTGTGGAGGAAATTGCCAATTTTAGCCTAGTTATAATTTTCAAGAATAGCCACCTTTTTGCTTCCAAGGGACCTAAAGTTAAATTTAGATGCTTTCCTCTGTTCTTATTTTGTGGCCATGGTTTCATGCAAGTCATTTATGGAATGCTTTAGCCTTGTTGTATTTTAAACTAATGACTAACCCTTCCAGCTCTGTTTTATGAACACTACAATGTTTTCTATTTCTCAGGGAGCAATAGAGAAAGTGAAGGAAAGTGATAAACTGGTTGCAACTAGCAAAATCACTCCACAAGACAAGCAGATGATGGTGAAGCGAGTTGGCACCATGTCTTACGCTCTTCAAGGTGAGCTGCAAGGGTGGGAGGAGTCCTGAAGAGGTTTAACCCAGTGAAGTGAGACCTCCCTGGCTAGGGGGTGGGTAGCCTCCCCGCAGCCTGGGCTGGGCTTGCTAGGAGAGCAGGGGAAGCCCTGATGTGGCCACCATGCCAAGGGTTAGCGTTCATGGCCTGGTGGGACCGCCCCACTGCCTGAAGAACGGCCTCCCACTGCCCACTGCCGCGTGCCCGGTGTTAGTTAAACCGGGGCCTCACAAAAGGGAAGGCAGCAGCCTTGCTCAGCCTGAGCAGCCTTGCTCAGCCTGCAGCCACACGACTGAAGCCTTGACTTGCAGCTCTGCAGCATACATCAAGTCTGTTTGATCAGTTGTGTTGTATGAATGGTCTGCATTTGAATCATTCAGCATTTGCACATTCAAAATACCAATCACTAAAAGCCAGCCATACCCTGATGAGGTACTGCATGTTGTTGACTTGGGACTTGGTTTTTAGCCTTGTTATGAAGTGATTTTCCAAGAAGTGCATGCACTGAAGCCAGAAGGTTGGGGCCAGGGGATGCTGTGTTGTCCCAGATCTCGGGGAGGAAGCTGACTGATGTCTTGCTTGGGTTGCAGCGGAAATGAATCACTTCCACAGTAATCGGATCTATGACTACAACAGCGTCATCCGCCTCTACCTGGAGCAGCAGGTGCAGTTCTATGAGACGGTGAGTGACGCTGCTCTACCTGCCTTTGCACCGCCCAGGGACACTCCTCAGGAGGGACTTACACTTCTTAATCCAAAATCACAGGCCATCTTATATCATGTTTTTAAAATCTCCTTTAATTCTAGCTGCCTTTTTCTTTTGGAGTAGTGTGGAGTTGGAAAGGATTTGTTTTGAGGAAGGAGTGTTGGATGCTAGTTTGACACTCCTAGAAGTCCCTGCTTGTGGCCAACTGCAGCCCACAGCCTCTCTGTACCAGGACCCTGCTGAGTGAGATGAGCTCAGCCTGGCACTACCAGGCGGTGAGCCTTTCACCCATGGGGCCCCGGGGCAGCTTGCTTTGCAGTCTCAGCAGAGGGGCTCATGCATGTAGATGGGTTCATACAGAAGCTGCAAGGAAGGTGGCACCTGGGTACCTGTGCTGGGGTGTCCGATTCCCATGGTGTCAGGAGAGCAAGGACCAGGGAGGGTTGGAAATTCAAGTCCTGCACCGCACTCCTGCCTTATCTCACACACTCTGTCCATGGCTCTATCTGGGGAATGTTCAGGCCGAGTGGCCAGCAAGCCTGTGGTTGCTATGGCTGATGCACATTTCCAAGTTCTGTGTGCTGGCAGGCAGTCTGGGAGGCAAGCTTGCGGAAGGATTCACGTGGGCAGCCTGGTTCCCAGTTGATGATGCCTGCATTGCTTAACTGCCCAACTCTCTCACCGAAGGACCGTTGTGAGTTAGGTGAGGGCAGGCCACATGTGTCTCGGAGGAAGAGGAGGCAGCATTTGGCTGCTCAGTGGTTTTCCAGTATGCCAGTGTGTGTGAATGGTGTGGTAACCAAAGCAGAAAACTGCACATTGTATCACTCTCTGTGTAAATGCATGCTGCGCTTACAACTGCTAAGCTTTACAGCTGACATGGTCTTGTGGCAAGTAAGTCCTAAATTGTTAACATTTGCCCATTTGTTCTTGGAGAATATATTTACTGAGTACCTGTGTGTACCAAACACTTGTTGCAGGTGCTTGCGTCCCACAGTGAGATGCCCGTGCTTTCACGGGTGTGTGGGCACCTCGGAGGGGCACAGGCACATGAGCACACACAGCATGCCATCAACTTTGTGATGGGTCCATCCTGATGGATGGGTCTGATGCAGGGTGCCAACCAGGACAGGGTGGGCTCAGCGAGACCTCTGCGGCAGTCACAGTGTCTGTGCTGGCCCAGAAAAGGCAGGGCAGTGGAGGCAGCTGCAGGTGTGAGGACTCCGTATATGGAGGCTCCCCAGCATGCAGTGTCCCTCGCACAGATGCTGAGTCAGGGCCAGAGAGGTTGGCACACGGGCCAGTTAAGTCTCAGTGTTTTAGGACATTCAGCTCACGCTATGCATCCTGACAGCGCGGCTTGTGTCCCCCCAGATTGCGGAGAAGCTGAGGCAGGCCCTCAGCCGCTTCCCCGTTATGTAGAGCGGCGGCACGCGGGGACCACCAGAGTGCTGCTTCGGACTTGGGGCGATGCCGTTGGCAGCAGAAGTCTCCCTCCGTCCTCCAAGGAGAGAAAACCAAAAGAAATCAGACTGGCACAGAGCCGTGCTTCCCTCACCAGCCGACGTACGTCGTTCTTTAGGGATGTGTGTGATTCCCACGCCCAACACCTAAACCAATGGAAATTGTCTATTTTTGGAAAGTACTTAAATTTATCAAAATTTTGAATGGAAGATTAGGGTTTTCCTCCCACTCATATTTTACTTAGAATCGTAATTTATAATTCACCCACAATCTTGCAATTCTTACCCAATGTCAGATAATTAAATACTAATTGCTTTCTTAAAAATATGGAATATGTCAGAATAAAATATATATATTTGTATTTTTTTATAACTTTTTCCAGTCCTTCGAAAGTCTGCACACTTTGTCCTCACACTGTGTGACTCAAGTGCTCCCAGCGCGGGAGGGGGGCCTGGTGGATGGGCCCCCGCAGGGCACTGCCTCCCTTGGGCGCTCCTCGGCACAGCACTCCTGCCCAGTGCTCTCTGCATCTTCCTGGCTGTGGTTCAGGCATGTGTTGTTCAGGAAAGAGTGAGTGAGCAAATGAAGGGACTTGGCAAGAAATCCTGGGGCTCTGCTCCCCAACGTGGGTGTCAGCACTGACCTCGTGGCCAGAGCCAGAAGGCCCAGACTGGCACCCTCCAGCCAGAGGTACTGTTCAGAACATGGCCACTACCTGTGGGGACGGTGGGTCCTGCAAGCCAGAAAGGGGGTTTTCTCACGGCTCCTCTGCCCACCCCGCCAAGGGGCAGCACCCTGGGCCATGTGCGGGATCCAGGGTGCAGAGGGGTGCTCTGTCCGCCTGCCTCACGTAGTTAGTGGCACCGAACAGAACGGGGGCCTCGCCGAGCGCGGCTTGCTGCTCCAGGCAGTGGTTCAAGCGCCTTGCACACCTGCCTTACTGCATCATCTCCCGTGGCGCTCAGGATGGGGAACAAGTCCGCTCCCACACAGCTGATGCAAAAGTCCATGAGAAAAACTCGGAGAACATGGGTGTGCTCACTTGTTCTTCGCTATCACAAGGTTGGTTAATGTTTTATAAGTAATTGTCCTCTCTTGATTTTCCTTTTATAAGATCCCACACAACAGTGTTTATGATACAGCCATTTAATATATGTACAAATTGTAAAGACTATGTATAAATGTTTTACACAAATATAAGAGCATGTAGAAGCCAACGTATAAATGAATTGTTAAAAATATTGTACAGTAAATTCTCCACGCACTTTTTCAAAACAGTTTTGGTCTTTTTGTGTGTTTTCTTAATTTGCTTCATGGACTTTATATACACACACACATAAAATTGTTTCTTATCTCAGCTGCGCAAGATGATCCGAGTAATGACCCTCCCTTTCTTTCTCTCAGTGTACAGGACTCACGTTGGTTCCTTCCGTCCATGTGGTTGGGGCGGAAGCATGTCACAGCCCGGAGCCCTGAGGGACGCACATTGCTGTTCCCCCAGGCACTCTTGATTTAATTGATATAAAAAAGCCGCCAGCAAAACCACCAAAGGACCTGAGCCAAGGAGGTGGGCAGGGCACGGCCAGCACAGAAATGGCTGGCTGTGGTCCAGGGAGAGCAGCGAGAACTTGGGAGAACAGGAAATGAACCCCTGGACATTGCCACGTGGGAAATCTGCCTTTGAGTGGGAGAAGTTTGCGATGGACTGGGTGCGTGTGTCCCTCCATGCGGGATCGGACACAACATGGGGTCCCCACACGTTCCTACTCTGAAACTCGGATTTTACCCCAGCCTCTGGCTGTCCTAGAAGAGCAGTAGTTCTGCAGTAACCAGTGGTCACAGGTACATACGAGCAGCAGGCAGAGGCTCGGCAGGGGACAGGCTGAGCCACTTCCCCTGCAGAGGCTGCCAACACAGGGCTGCAGGTCCCTGGCACCAACCCAGAGCGTGGCCGGCACTAGGCGCTGGGGGCACAGAAAAATAAGCCCTGGCGTGGGCATTAGTCTCCGGGCTGGACAGCTGCCCTCCCCTCCACCGCCCCGGCCCCCATTCCCTCTGTCCTGAGTGACCACCCCACACTGAGGCCTCAGAAAGCATGGTGTTGGAGGGCGCAGACAGGAAGGACTCCCACACTAGGGCATCCGCCCACAGGGATGGGGCATCCTGCGGGGTGACAGGCTGTGTGCAGTCACTCTGTAGATCTGACAGGCCACAGAAGTGGGGGTGGGAGAGTCCAAATGCTGCAGCACCTTTCTTAGCAGCAGGGGGAGGGCAGCAGTGCTGGGGGAGGGCAGCAGGGCAGGGGGAGGGGCCCGACGGCAGTGGTGGGGGAGGGCAGCAGTGCAGGGGGAGGGGCCCGACGGCAGTGGTGGGAGCTGAGGGCGCTGCCCTGCTGGTCACACTTCAGTCTCCTGGATTGAAACCCCTCTGTCAAAGAAGTTAACAACCAGAGCTACTTTGAGGAAGGCTCCTTCGCCTGTACCTACTGCTTTCCACCCACCTGGTCCCTGTATCTTTTTTAAAAATATTTATTTTATTTTCATTGGAAAGACAGATACATAGAGAAGGACACAAGAGAGAAAGATCTTCTATCCACTGGTTCACTCCCCGAATGGCCACAACACCCGAGCTAAGATGATCTGAAGCCAGGAGCTCCTCTGGGTCCCCCACATGCTCTCCCAGGCCCCAGCACGGAGCTGGATCGGGAATGAAGCAACCAGGACATGAACCAGTGCCTACGTGGGAGTGCTGGTGCTTGAAGCTGGGGGATTAGCCAATTGAGTCATTGTGCCAGTACCCATGTCTGAGGAAAAGCAGACCAAAACAATCACCAAGTCCAGTGAAGCTGCCAGTCTGGGCTTTGCAGCCCTGGCAGGAGAGGAGATCCTGTGAGAAAAAGCCCAGAAGCCGCGGAAGTGTGTGGGGGAGGGGCGGTTGGCTAGGCCAGCTCCTCTTGTTTTCGCTGTCGTGTTGGGAGGGCTTCCCCGCCTGGTCTCCCCACCGGGAGCTGCCCTGCCAGGGGCAGGCCTGGTGTGGGGCTCAGGAGCAGGAATTATGGAAGAGCTGCAAGTGAACTGGGCATGTGCGGCCCTGCCCGTCATGCCCTGTGGTTATAAAGTGATTGTGGCACAGTGGGCACCCGTGAAACGCCTGGGTCCACATTGCACCCTCCCCGATCCCGTCCATGATCCATAAAGGCCCTCAGCCATGAGGCCTTGACCCCGGATGGGCACAGCTGCTTGGGAGTATTGCCCCCTGAAGCCTGCCACCCCCACCGCTGAGAGCCCCCTGCCTTCAGCCACCAGGAGGGACACGGCTGAGAGACCCCTCCCTTGCACTGGGTTCCCTTCAGTCAACTGGTTCTGTAATTCAGAGAGGATATGCCAGGTCCCACATCACCCTTTGCGCTGAGCATGACTGAAACCCTAGCACCTTCACAGGGGGTACTTCAGCCAGCCCTGGGACAGGGGGACTCCAGCTTGTTGCCAAGGACACCACTGTCCCCAACTTGCTGCTGTCAGGAGGTGTCCCTATGCAGGACACTTCATCCCCCCGTGGGGGTGATGGGAAGCAGGCTGGTTCATGCCAAGTGTGGGGTTGTTACAGAACAAGGTCGCGTCCCTTTTTCCTCCTTCCCTTTCCTGCCCTCTTACCCTCGACACAGCTTCCAAGGCCCCGGCCAGGTGCCAGCACGCAGAGCTGGATAATAAAGTCCTTGTGGATTCTCCAGGCTCACATCATCCGGTACAGCGGCAGCCAGTGGAGTCAGGTGCACCCTGAAGGGGACGGGGACTGCCCGCCCTTGCCCAGCCTGCCCAAGCTTTTCCACATCGCTGAGCACAGGCAGCGTACACGCTCTGCCTCGGCAACTCCGACCCTTCACAAAGCAATGAGCTGCCAAGCTCATGGCGTAGTTGGAACCACCAGCCCAATGGCGCATCCCGCTAGCTGCAGGTCCTGTCCACAGCTGTGACGGTCACTCCCAGCTCTTGGTGTGTGAGTTTCAGTGGTCCCTGTCCTGCCAGCCAGACATCCATAAGCATGCTTTCCAGTGGCCACATAATTATACTATGTCTTTTCTTAACATTTGAGAGCCCACATTTTGAGTTTAGTTCATGTCTCAGCCACTTCACTTTAGATCCAGCTCCCTGCTAATTAACGTACCTGGAGAAAGCAGAGAATGACCCGAGAGTTTGGGTCCCTGAGCCCACATGGAAGTTGCTGGCTTCCGCCTGGCCCACTTTGGCCATGCAGCCACCTGGGAGTGAAGCAGCAGGTGGAAGGTTGTGTCTCCCTCCTTCTCTGTATGTAACTCTGGCTTTCAAATCAATCAGTCGATCTTAAAGAAATGTCTGTGGCTTACCGGAAGGAGTAGCATAAGGCCAGAGCCCTCATGGTCTGTAACCAAAGCTCCAGTTCTCAGTACTGTCACGCTGGGTGCTAGGTTCCTACAGCCACGTTTATCCACAGCACCCATGAAGGCAGAGGACGTGGACACGAGAGCAGCACCCAGGACATGGGGTGCGCTGTGGGGAGATCACACCCCTGCCAGCTGGAACTGGCTCGGGCTGGAGTCCCCCTTCCCACTCTATGATGGCCTCTATGTTGTGTCTTCCTATTGCACTTTGTACGTACCTGTAGTCTGCTGAGAGCTGAGACTATGAAAACTCCTGGGCCACAGGTGGATCTGGTAGCCCTCGCGCTGAGAGAAAACAGCCCGTCGCAGGACCAAGATTCCGACCCCACCCGCATGGTGGCTGCCGGGGTGGGGCGGGAAAGGGATGTGGTCCCTCGTGGGAGTAACTCAGTTTGGGGAGACACTGCCTGCTGCCCCATTTAGACGACCCATTTCCAGCCCTGCATGAGCTCTGGGAATTACCTGACCTGCCACTTGACTTTGAAAAATTCTCTTCAAGAGGCAGAGCTGCCATCCACAGGTTCACTCCATAATTGCCTGCTACAGCTGGGACCACGCCAAGGCCAAAGCCGGGAGCCAAGGAACCCACCTCAGTGGGTGGCCTTGAGGTGTCACTGCTTCCCCATGGGGCTGCACCAGCAGGATGCCCAGGTGGCAGCATCGCCGTTAGACCCAAAGTGCACCCTGCCTGTGGGTGCCTTTGTCACCACTGTCACAGACGGCGCTCATCAGCCGAGGTCTCGGACACTCGAACAGCACGCATGCTGAAACCTGCCACCCCCAAGGTGGTGTTGCTAACCAGTGGGGGCTGCTGGGAGATCTGGCCACAGTGGTGACCCAGCAAGGAGGCCTGCAGAGCCTGCGTGCTGCTTGCGCCAGGGGCCACCTCCAGCAGGAAGCTCGAGCAGGTGCCCAGTCCAGCTCTCCACCCAGGCTCAGCTTGCGAACAGACCCTGCAGGCACCCCCATGGCTTGTTTGCAAGGCTCCAGCACCTGCCCGCTCCAGCCCAGTTCCCCCCCTCACAGGAGTCCTGGGCAGCAGCAAGTGACGGGGCAGGCCCTTGGGATCCTGCCATCCCCATGAGAGACCCAGACCCAGCCCAGCCCTGGCTGTTATGGACATTCAAGAAGTGAACCAGCGGGCCCGGCGCAGTGGCGCAAGTGGTTAAAGGTCCTCGCCTTGCACGCCTGGGATCCCATATGGGCGCCGGTTCTAATCCCGGCAGCCCCGCTTCCCTTCCAGCTCCCTGCCTGTGGCCTGGGAAAGCAGTCGAGGACGGCCCAAAGCTTTGGGAACCTGCACCCGCGTGGGAGACCCGGAAGAGGCTCCTGGCTTCGGATTGGCATAGTATTGGCCCGTTGCGCTCACTTGGGGAGTGAATCATCGGACGGAAGATCTTCCTCTCTGTCTCTCCTCTCTGTATATCTGCCTTTCCAATAAAAAAAAAATAAAAATAAATCTTTAAAAAAAAAAAAAAGAAGTGAACCAGCATCTGGAAGGTTCTCTCTTTGCCTTTCAAATGTGTAAAAGTGACACCTCTGGAGGTGATGGGAAAACAAGCTTTACCTATGAAGAAATGGCCAGTGTCAGCTGGGGGCCAATTCCCATAGTTGGGGACTTCCTGCTGCCCAGGCACTTTCGCTGTACCGTTTAGGGGTTCACCCCTGGATCTGCGACTCAGGCATGGTCTGCCGAGGAGCAGAGCACACCCAGTTATTGCCAGCATTGCCAGCCCCTGGCCACATTCAGACCCACTTCCTGTGGGATTCCAGCCAGCGCTGCAGCCAAGCTACCGCAGGTTGCCCAGCTGTGCCCAGCACACCTGCAGCCCCAGCGACCATCAGCAAACCAGGAAAA